CTTGAGCCACATCCCCAGCCCCGAAAATACATATTTTCACAGGCATTTTTTCAGAATAGTTTTAGATTTAGAGAAAAAAGTGAGCATCTGACACAGTTTATATATGCCCTCCCTTCCCTCAGGTATATAGTGTTTCCCATTAAGATCTTAAATTAGTATGATACATTTGTCACTAATTGAATTGATGTCAATACATTGCTAACCAAAGACAACATCTTATTCAGATTTCTTTGGTTTTAACCTAATGTCCTTTTTCTGTCCCAGGATCCCAGCAAAGGTACTACATAACATTTAGTCGTCACATCTCCTTGGGCTTCTTTTGACTTCAAGTTGCTTGGACTATTCTTATATTTAATGACCTTGAGAGTTTGGAGAGCACTCACCAGATAGACTGTGGGATGCATTTTCCTGACATTGGGCAGAAGTTATTCTCATGATTAGGCTGGTGTTACAGGTTATTGGGAGAAGACCCCACAGATGGAGTGCTTCCTCCTGACGTCACGGCAAGGTGGGGTGTACCATCGACAGGACTCCGTCCATTGCTGTTGACACTGACCTCCGTGGCCTGGCTGAGGCGGTGTTTGTCAATTTTCTCCACCATGGTTATAATTTCCCCTCACTTGTGATGAGACAACTCATTGCATCTGTCTTAGAATGTTCTGGTGAAAGTACAAATTATGCACTAGCTAAAGAAGAAAAAAATTTCAAAAATCTTTCAGGTCAAAAATGTCCCAATTGGGCTGGGGTTAGGGCTCAGTGGTAGAGCACTTACCTAGCATGTGCAAGGCCCTGGGTTCGATCCTCAGCACCACATAAAAACAAATAAGTAAAATAAAGGTATTGTGTCCAACTACAACTAAAAATATATTATTTTTAAAAATGACCTTAACAACAGCTTCATGGTTTGAATAGATTTTTCTCTCTAGCCTCGCCCTCCCCTGTTGGATGCCATGAGCCTTTGTATCAGGAATGATGGATGGGAGCGAAGAAGGTCGCTTCCTGAGTACAGAGGAAAGCTAGTGTTTCTATACTAGTTTAAAAATGGCTGTTGTCTATGACAACACTGTGATATGATTTAGGGAAGACTCAGGAGAGAGTCCCTACATGAAACCCAGATAAAGTTTGTGCATCTGCACAGGTGCCACTCATTGGCTAAGGATGTTACAGCTCTGCATTTGGAAGCAGCAATAGGGCTTTTTATTTGAATAAGTGAATCTGCTTTGCAAGGACTGAGCCCACCCACACAAGAAAAG